CATGAGCTGTCAGTCCACCCCTGTATATATAAATACAATATATACAGTTGCAGAAAAAGTATGTGAACCCCTTGGGATTACGTGGAGTTTTGCATGAATTGGGCATAAAATGTGCTTCGTGCTGAACGTCATCTAAGTCACAACAATAGAAGAGCACAGTCTGCTGAACAGCAATAATACTACACAAACATTAGATGTTTGCCATGGTTTAATTGCACATAACATGAAGTGAAATCCCTCACTGGAGTAAGCTTGGATCCTGAAGCATCTGGTTAGATCAGGGACCCTTTAAGGTGATAAAAATTCACAGTGCAGGGAGGAAAAAGTATGTGAGGCCCTAGCTTAATGACTTCTCCCAGAGCTAATTGGAGCCAGGAGTGAGCCAACCTTGACTCCAATCAGTGTGATGATATTGGATGTGTTGCTGACAGCTGTCCTGCTCTTAAAAAACACACACCTTTTTTTTGGTTTACTGGTTTCAAGAAGCATTGTCTGATGTCCACCCATGCCTTCGCAGAAAAGAGCTCTCAGAAGACTCTACGATCAAGTCAAATGTTGTTTACTTGCATGAAGCTGGTGTGTGGGATTACAAAAGTATCTCCAAAAGCCTTGATGTTCATGTGTCCACGGTAAGACAGACTGTCTACAAATGGAGAAAGTTTAGCACTGTTGCTACTCTCCCTAGGCGTGGTCGTCCTGTAAAAATGACTGCAAGAGCACAGCGCAGAATGCTGCATGAGGTAAAGAAGAATCCCAGAGTGTCAGCTAAAGACCTACAGAAATCTCTGGCACATGCTAACATTTTTGTTGACACATTACAATAAGGAAAACATTAAACAAAAAATGGAGTACATGGGAGGACACCACGGAGGGAAGCCATTGCTGTCCAAAAAGAATATTGCAGCACGTTTGAAGTTTGCAAAAGAGCACCTGGATGTTCCACAGGCACTACTGGCAAAATATACTGTGGACAGATGAAACCAAGATTGAGTTGTTTGGAAGACTACACAACACTATGTGTGGAGAAAAAAAAGGCACAGCACAGCACACCAACATCAAAACCTCATCCCCACTGTAAAACATGGGGAGGGAGCTTCATGGTTTGGGGCTGCTTTGCTGCCTCAGGGCCTGGACGGATTGTTGTCATTGATGGGAAAATTAATTCCAGAGTTTATCAAGACATTTTGCAGGAAAATGTACGACCATCTGTCCGCCAACTGAAGCTCCGCAGAGGATGGGTGATGCAACAAGACAATGACCCAAAGTATACAAGTAATTCAACAAAACAATGGCTGCAACAGCACAGAATACGCCTTCTGGAGTGGCCCAGTCAGAGTCCTGACCTCAACCCGATTGAAATGCTGTGGCATGACCTTAAAGAGTGATTCACACCAGACATCCCAAGAATATTGCTACACTGAAACAGTTTTGTGAAGAGGAGTGATCCAAAATGACTCCAGATCGTTGTGCAAGTCTGATCTGCAACTACAGGAAACGTTTGGTTGAGGTTATTGCTGCCAAAGGAGGGTCAACCAGTTATTAAGTCCAAAGGTTCACATACTTTTTCCTCCCTTCACTGTGAATGTTTACATGTTATGTGCAATTAAACCATGGCAAACATCTAATGTTTGTGTAGTATTATGTTCAGCAGACTGTGTTCTTCTATTGTTGTGACTTAGATGACGTTCAGAGCACATTTTATGCCCAATTCATGCAAAACTCCACGTAATCCAAAGGGGTTCACATACTTTTTCTTGCAACTGTATATATATATATATATATATATATATATATATATATATATATATATAATATATATTGGTGCAGTATAATTAATGAAGACATGCACATGCTGACGCTAATAACTAAATGTGATAAAGTGCAGTGCTATAAATAAGTACAGTAAAATCACTGTATTAAAAAACAATAAAAAGTTCATAAAGTGAATAATGACATCAACGGGAATCCTGTGTTCATCTAGAACTTGTGCTTGTGCAGTCAAAAATGAGAAGAATGCGCACTCACCAGAGCGCAAAATAAAATGCGCATTTTTTTGTGTGAAAATCCTGATGTCATCAAAGTCGGTCTGGACAGGAATGAAGTGAAATCCCTCACTGGGTAAGCTTGGATCCTCAAGCATCTGGTATGTGCTGGGAGGATGTCAGGGATCCCTTTAAGGGATGGATGGGTCAGCTCACCGGATATGTAAGGGCTCCCACTCTGGGTCTGGCTACATCTTTCTTTTTTTCCCGGTTTGGTCCTTTTTCCACCCCTCTTCCCTCTATCTAATAATATAATGACTCACATGCTTGTCAAATGCCTGGTTTACTTGTGTGTGGTGTGTGGGATGGCACTATATATATATATATATATATATATTTAATATATATTGGTGCAGTATAATTAATGAAGACATGCACATGCTGACACTAATAACTGTCAAGGGGACTCACATACCCTTGTACATAATATTACTCACATTCACAGATTAATTTTTTTCTATATCTTATGAAAATAAAGTTTAATGTACAGTAGCTAAAAAAGGACACATGGCCAGGTGGGCTGGGAGGGAGAGTATGGAAAGGATTTTGTGGCGGAGGCAAGATAAATGACATTAGGCATAGTGCGAATTGTCAATATGGCAAAATCAAGGCAACCATTTTGGCAAGAAAATTAGGTTTGTGGAAGTAGAATGGTCTAATGATTGCCAATAATTGGATTTAAAGGGAAGTTCCACTCAAAAGGGGAAGTTCCACTTTAAAGATTAGTCCCCATTAAGGATTGGCACCTTTGGGCAGCGGGGGGGGGGGGAACGGGTACCCGAATTTGACAGGTACCCGCTCCCACTTCCGCTGTGATCGCCTGGGTGATCGGAAGCGGAAGTTGTCCTCCTACGCTCCCTCCCCGAAGTCTTGTGGGACACATGACAGGTCCCAAAAGGATTGGCACATTTAAGATGGTAAGATGGCCGCAGGAGCTCCACATTGCTCCGACGGCGTGACGTCACGGCGTGGTGTGTCTCCTACTGACGCGTATCATGCTCAAACAAGTCCTCAGAGGGGGGTCGCCATTGGCAACGTGGAGCTCCGACAGCCATCTTACTTTATCAGATGGTTAGTCCTCATTGATTTCTGTCTGCACTTTTTATTTTACCTTTGATGCATCACAATAAAGTTATCTACACTACACTATGGGAGCATCTCTGTTGCCACCCCTGGGGGGAGTGCTCTAGCCCACAGATCCACCACCAGGACGGATCATTGCTGCATAGTGGAGGTTGCACACCTAGAGGGATACTACCAGCCTGGATAATAGGGGGACCCCTAGAGGACGAGGACCACCTACACCAGCTTCACACTGCTTAGTCAGATGATCCACCATCCCTTAGAGGGAGGACCACCCATCTTCTGACCTTCTTTATATCATTTAACATGCGCGTCCGGTGAGTGCGCATTACTTTCATCACTATTGCACGGATACCGGGTCCTAGAGTCACCAGAGCACAAGTGTCACTTTACCTACTTATTGGAACTTTTTATATATTTTTTTTTATTATTTATTTAGTGGACCGGAGAAGGGATATTCATTTATTATTTTATATTTTTTTTACATTTTCATTTTTGATTAATATTTTAGCACTGCACTCTCTTGTTTTATATTGATGTTCTAGGGTGATATTGGTTACCTTTTTTGTGCATAGCAGCTTTTTCTAAATTAGGGCGCTTACATTTCTGTTTTACACATTTAAGCAATATAAACCTGACATATGATATAACCCTTCCACACTCCATCCCAAACTAAAACAAATTTTGCCTTTATTATTTAAATTTATTATTATTTATTTATTATTTAATAAAAAAATAATAATTTCCCTGTTTTAACATGTCATTTATTATATATTATTCTTGCTCATCTGAAAATTTTCTGATGCAGAATGAAAAAAATGTCTGAATGGATTTTTGAGGCTGATGTCTAAGAATATGATAAAACATTTTTAAGAGAAATAGTTCATGTGTTTTTCACCATATGATTCATCTCTCGGGTTCGGGTTATTTCTCACCATAACCTATTTTACCATATTAACAGGAAATCACAAAGCTCTGCAATGTATGTATATAAAGCAAAGAGTTCCTTTATTTTCTTCTAGACTAGTGTTAAAATATTGGCACTTCAGTTGATTTAGATTGTCTTTAAATGCTTTTGCTCTCCAAAATAGATTTTACTTTGTTATTCAACAAAAATAGCACTTATTATGTATATCAAAATCAATTCAATGGCTTTATTATTTCTAGAAATATATTTTATAAAACGTCTTCAGTGCCTTTTCTATTTTTATACCAATAGATCTGTACTGACAGCTAACTGACACTCACATATCCATTTTTTATTTACCCATAACATACTTTTTTTTAATCATTCTACATAATTTTTTGCATCTCAGTGATGCTGATATTCTGAAAACATTGCTCTTGTATTGGACCATACCTATCCAATGTATGTTTACTCGGCCACTAAGGGAGGGTGATAAGGTAAAGCAATAATGAAAGAGATATGGACACCCCTTAAAAGGAGTGTCTGAATAAATATCTTCATGACAAGATCACCTGGTATTTTTTAGATAAAAGCTTCATGTTTATAAAGATTGAAAACAAATTATGAAGTTACATTAGCATGTTAAATCATTAAATTCATTAATCATTGCTACCCAAAGTACCAGCTTAATCAGGCAGCATGTTATACATCTCTGATGACTATTTCACAACAAAATACCTAAATACATCTTTTTTCAGAGCTTACAAAACATACAGATTGTAACAAGTAACCAGTCAGAATAGGCCCACCTTCACTAAACTGTTGTAAGATCAACTGGTGTGGGTTCCTGCACTTTACATATAGTCTATTACACTGAGCTGCATTACTGAGCGAGCTTATGGATGTGTTCAATTTTCATTTGGAACTAAGTAGTTTTACTAGTATCCATGTAAAAGCAATAATATTACCTTCCACAAGGGATCCAGCCAACAAGAAAACACAAAATATAAGCAGCATGTTCTTGCAGGGTAGAGAGAGAAGTTCCATACGTAGCGGAATTGTCTTCACAAGATGTGAAATGTTAGCATGAGCTGTGGGTTTCTTAGCTAGTAAAGATTTCCGACTAAAACCACAATGACCAGCCCACAAACTTGTCACAATTTCCTGCACAAGTGTAAAAACACGATTCTGTACGTTAATAAAGGTGACAAAATGACTACTGAAGCATTTTTGAGAAGGAAAAGAAAACACAAAGTTCTCATGAACAATTCTGAAAATAAAAAGATAATTGTTATGAACGTACATGTGGCTTTATCTGCAGCAAGAAACTTGATCTGTACACATGGAATACGAAGGCTATAACAAGGTATATTTACACTCACCGTAACAATTTTTAATCATGAGCTAAATATATGGACTTCTGAACATGAGGTTTTGGCTATTAAGCTAACCTGCTGGCTTTAATACTTTTAGTCACAGAGCCAGAACAATAAAGCTGATTATTATTATTATACAGGATTTATATGGCACCAACAGTTTGCTCAGTGCTTTACAAAATAAAGGGAGACAATACAGCAACAATACAGTTCAATACAAGAGGGTTAGGAGGGCCTGATCCTGAGAGCTTACAATCTAAGAGATTATGAAAGTCAGATAAAACGTTTGAGGGCTTTCTTTTCATTTTTGTTTGATATCGGGAGCTCAGAACTTGTGTCTTCCAGGCAACCATCATTTTCAGAAGGAAAAGTCAACAGTGACACAGCCTTCAAACTTTTCTATTAGAGATTTCCATTAAAGGGCAAGTGCATGGTTAGTAAGAAGTACAATGGTCCACACTCCCTAGCCCTCCTAACATACCGACATTGACCTTATCCAGACATACATTTTCTTTAGTGCTGGCAGAGAGCCCTCATAGACTTGAATGAAACCATACTCAGGAACAGCCAGCACTAAAGTAGGTAAACTGATTGGGAGGCCATGACCTGACAGCAGAGTCCTACATAGTACACAGCAGGGGCGGACTGACAACTCATGGGGCCCCCGGGCAATATGGGATCATGGGGCCCCTGTGTCCTTGCCCAAACTCAAAAAAGACTATGAAAAAGGTACCAGGGGCATCTCATGGGGCCCCCTACTGACCCCGGGCCCTTGGGCAGTGCCCGAGTTTCCAAATGGTCAGTCCGCCCCTGGTACACAGGAAGAGTCACTCTTCTGATGTAATCTTCAGGGCTGGGCTTTCAATTTGACAGCATCTGTCAGTGTTCCTGATACACAGAGCTGAACCAGCTATCAAACTGACAGAAAAGCCGCATCAATTAGGCCTCGTTCACACCATACACTCAGAAAAAAATGATGGAAAGATGCACAGATTTCACTTGCAGAGACTTCAGGTTACATCAGTTTTGATGAGCTCTTCAATTAGTTTTGCAGATTCCTGCGCAGAACAAATCTGCATGTAATTGCTTAGTGTTATGGTGTGGACAGGGCATATAGAGAAGAATTGATTTAATTGTGCCTTTGTAGAATGTGTGCAGAAAAACCGACATCTCTGCACCATGGTGTGGAAGAGCCCTTACACCAGGTGAATTGCCCTTGGGGTTATCTGCAGAGCTGGGCTCACAGTTTGACAGCTGGGTCCTCCTCTGTTTATCAGGAGTGTCCCTGTATAAATAAAGGTACCAAACAGGTTGCAGCTTTCATTCATAAATGAGTGCTTATGCACAGATCAAAGTATTGCTCTTGTATCTGCATGGTTCCAGCAAACCTGCAATTAAATAAAACAAACAAATGAGCACCTGTAGGATGTCTGACAAATTGACCCAATTATTTATTAAAAATCGTGCATATCTAACCTCTGTTAGACTTGCTAAATTGAAATCATCATATAGCCAGGCCCAGACTTGCCATAGGGCACACCGTGCATTTTCCCGGTGGGCCAGGGTTGCCGGGCTTAAGATGACCGAGCCACACAGCAGGAGGTAAGCGGCGACCATGGTCTGGAAGGGGCTAACACAGACCGCGGCCACCACTCACCTCCCGCTGTGTGGCTATGTCTAAAGCAGGGTCGACAGGAGGAGCGGCAGTGACAGCTCCAGATGACAAGCAGGAAGCACCACTGACAAAGGGACATCAAGGGGCCGGCTGCTGCACTGAAGGGACAATGGTAGCCTCTCTTCTTCAACTGCCAGCACACTGTGACAGCACTGTAGCAGCGGTGGATGTGGCTGTCTCTGCTGGACAGGCTGTCTCTTTGCTGTATGAGGCTGTCTCTTTGCTGGATGGGGCTGTCTCTTTGCTGGATGGGGCTGTCTCTTTGCTGAATGGGGCTGTCTCTTTGTTGGACTGGGCTGTCTCTTTGCCCAGTTGGGTCCAGCAAAGAGACATCCCAATCCAGCAAAGAGACAGCCCAGTCCAAGAAGGGAAATCCCCATCCAGCAAAGAGACATCCTTGTCCAGCAAAGACACATCTTGTCTTTGCTATATGGGATGTCTCTTTGCTGGATTGGGCCAACTCTTTGAATATATAGGGGGCACTGTGATTAGATCTCTAGGGCACTGTAATGTAAAGGGGCACTGTGATATAAAGGGTACTGCGCTGTAAAGGGGCACTGTTGTGGGTTTAGTAACACTTTAATGTGCTTCTTCTTAAGCCACTCCTTTGTTGCCTTGGTGGTATGTTTTGGGTCATTGTCATGCTGGAAGAACCATCCACGACCCATCTTCAGTGTTCTGGCTGAGGGAAGAAGGTTCTCATCCAAGATTTTACAATACATGGCCCCATCCATTGGCCACACAATGCAGCAAAGTCAGCCTGTACCTTTAGCAGAAAAATAGCCCCAAAGCATAATGTTTCCACCTCCTTGCTTGACTGTAGGGATGGTGTTCTTAGGGTCATACTCAGCATTTTTTTCTTCCTCCAAACACGAAGAGTCGAGTTAATGCCAAAGAGCTCAATTTTGGTCTCATTTGACCACAGCATTTTCTCCCAATCCTTCTCTGAATCATTTAGATATTCATTGGAAAACTTCATACGTTCCTGTACCTGTGCCTTCTTGGTGGTGTATTGTGTTACCAATGGTTTGTATGGTGACTGTGGTCCCAATTGCCTTGAGATCATTCACAAGCTCCTCCCATGTAGTTCTTGGCTTATCCCTCACTTTTCTCATGATAATCCTTACCCCATGAGGTGAAATCTTGCATGGAGCTCCAGACTGAAGGCGATTGATGGTTATTTTGTATTTCTTCCATTTGCGAATAATCGCTCCAACAAAGGGGCAGAGTGACAACTCATGGGGTTCCCGGGCAATAGGGGATCATGGGGCCCTTGTGTCCTTGCCCAAACTCAAAAAAGCCTATGAAAAAGGTACCAGGGGCATCTCATGGGCCCCCTACTAACCCCGGGCCCTCGGGCAGTGTGCCCGAGTTTCCAAATGGTCAGTCCACCTCTGCTCCAACAGTTGTCTCCTTCTCACCAAGCTTCTTGCTGATGGTCTTGAAGCCAATTCTAGCCTTGTGGAAGTCTACAATCTTGTCCCTGACATCCTTTGACAGTTCTTTGGTCTTACCCATGGTGGTGAGGTTTGAATGGAAGAAAGAAATTCTGTGGACAGGTGTCTTTTATACACATGACGAGTTGTTGTTAGGAGCACCATCTTAAATTGACAGGACTAATCTGTGTACCACATGAGCACATAGCCAGTCTGTGTGTAGGGGATCAAATACTTATTTTACTCACTGAACTGCAGCTCAATTTATAACATTTGTATCGTGTGTTTTGTTTTGCCACTGTATGTAGCTTTAGAGCATCTCATGCTGATATGGCTGGATCAAGACTAGATAACAATACCAAATGGGTCCCTGACCTTCTGAAAGATGATATAGTCCACTTGGTAAGTCCTGACAACTATGTGGTAGTTTGCACTCTTTTGAAATGGTAAAAGTGAAAATTATTCTTTCAGTCTACTGTAATTTGTCTTTCCTGATCCTGTTAAAATTCTATAGCAGCAGATAGATAGATCTTGGAAAAGTCAGCACCTTTTGTTTTTTAGAAAAACTGAAAATTTTTTGAGAAGTGTTAGATGCAAAACCATAAGCAAAACTATATGCTCTTAATGTGAAACTGCAGCCCAAACTCTTTTTTTTATAGTTTTGTATTAAGTGGACAAAGTTTGAAACCCCTATAATTTTTGCACTGCTGCCTGTGTTCCCTGACGGCAAAACTCCTAAATGGAAATACCAGCTCCAATGACAGATGTCAGGTGGGATTTTCCCTCTCTTTGAGGGTATCTCCTCTTACATCCATTCGGTTCTTGAGGACAGGAAGGGCATGAAACTCTCCGAGACACAGAAATGTAAAACAATGGTTGCAATCCTTTCCCAGTAAAAATAAAAATGTTTGTGCCGGAGTCTCTCTTTCAAGATTTTGCAGAAGGAAGATAATATATTAGGGAATGTGAAGAGTCCATAAGGGTTAAAGGCCCAGTCATAGTGGAAGTGAAGAAGTACTTCCAGAATAAACTTGATAATAAAGTGAATAAGCCTGAGAAGAATTAAACATGGTTCATTATAAGCGATATTTTGAATCTCTGAGATCTTTATAGCCATGAGAGATGACCAATATTAAGTGTGCAATTTGGTAGGGAACATTTTTGAATGGTTTCTATGTCAAGTATTAATAAACTGAGTAAGGGTTAAATTTCAGAAAGTCATAGCTTATTTGAGGGAACAATCTTGAGACATGCTTTGGAGAAAACCTGTCCCCAACAGCCACATTTAATAAAACATAACCTAGTATCTTTATAGCTTACTTTGGCAAAATAATCCCCTTCAAAAAGGATTTCTTATCCTGAAGTGTAATCCTTCTCTGCTGGATGTCCCATCTTGGATGTGGTCCAGCAGGCTTACAGCTGTCATTATTGTGAAGGTCAGAAATCCTGCACACGCACAATATTCCACCCACAGCACTTACAGCAGCATAGCCTACCAAGCTACTGAACACAACTTCTGTGCTGCCGGTTAATATATCCCTAGACTGTGCTGGAAACATCCGAAATTGGGGTCTGGAAGAGGGAAGAGCAGTGGGCAGCCAGGAATTAGAAGAATCCAAGGACGTTTTGGAATATTCTAATTTTATCTGATGCGTAAAGTTCTGCAAAATGGATTGACTGGCTGGAAGAAGCAATCGTGAGTAAAGTAAAACAGTGTTAGACACAGTGCTCTCAGTAACCAGCACTTTAGCAACTGAGCTAGTTTGACACAACCCTATCTTTCATTGCTTTACAAGTCTGTATACAAGTCTCACTCACAAATCATACACATGCTGCTAATGGACTATATATAAGGGATGGGCTTTTAGAAAACAGAGACTGTTTACCTGTAATTCAGGGGAAGATCCATGGTTTATTGACACATGGCCATATAAATCAGGAAAGTAATGTTTCAGATAGGTAATGCTCCTTCGTCAGGCAGTATATCTAATGCCTACTTAATGGACAGTCAAACTGTCTAAAAGATTTCATAGAAGCCTTTCATTTTTAATATGTGCTTTCATTTTGCTGACTTCATCAGGAATTCTATGTACCTTTCCATCCTCTGGTATTTTGTTTATTATTTTTGCGTGGCCTATAAAATCTCCTTGGCTTGGTCACCAAAGTTCTTCCTGTTAGCAGCCTGTATGGGTGTGTGGTCCTGCTATTCAAAAGAATCAGACCAGACTAGCGACTCTTAATTGTGGATTCCAGTTTTTGTCCAAATAACAATTTTATGCAGAATGAAAAGCCAAGTGCTTGGAACAAAACCACCACCCACTTTGAGCCCATTTAGGGTAATGAAACCAAGGTCTCCCTAAGATCTCTAATTTGTACAACTGCTTTTCCAATAAACTCTGAGGATAGCTTGACATGATCCAATCTTTTTATAACATTTTCTGTTCTATAAAGAAGAAAGAATAAACTGCATTTTCTATGTCAATCGTCACAAATGTCAGGGCATTGGCCTCAATAACAAATGGAAGACAAATGTGGAGATTTTGTTTGCAAGACTAGCAGCCTCTCATCATCCTTTGCATCTCTATCCTTATCCTCCATGTTGGAAGCTGATATCTGTGAATATTCTTATATATTATTATTATTTTTATTATACAGTATTTATAAAGCGCCGAAATAGTTCGCTCAGCGCTGTACATTTAAAGGG